ACTGAATTTAAAAAGAAATAATAAAAAATATTCAGAATAAATTAATAACATCGAAAATAACATCTAATTGTTATAAATAAATGTATGAAATATTTTATTTTTATGCAATTTGTATAAACGATGGGGAATATTAAATGAGGGTGAATTTGATAATAATAAAATAACAAGAAAATCTACAGGAAGAAGAGGAGATTGAAAAAAGAAAAGAAAGAAACGGTCAGAAGCAAGACATAATCTTAGAAAAGGTATAAGCTGGCTCTGGGCAGATTAAATTTAGAATTGGTCGGGTAGGCTTGGGCTTACCGGGTCCTAAATCTTCTCTGACGTGTAACGCACAGAGTACGGAGTGTGCGATATCGAAGTACGGGAACATTTTCAATTTAATGACCTGATTGGCCATGTCGAGGAATGCTTCGGGATCCATTTTGATTGATTTTCACTTGCCCCGGGATACACTATGGCTTTTTTGTTCACGGAGATCGTGTCTTTCGGCGTTCAACAAATCTTCGATTTAAAACAAAGTCACGGGCGCCCGCGAACGACGCTAGCTATGCGCCGTCTGCTAGATTTGGTCGTCTGCTAGTTATGGAACCGGTCCCTACTATTAGAACCTTATCGTCGAGAACGCAGTAGATTTCATAGTTTCTTTGAAACACCTCCCCACAGATGGCAGTAAATGATTGCATTTGTATATATTTTTCATTGCCTTGCTTTTTAAAGAATTTAGAGTTATACAAAGTTATACAACGTGAAACTTTAAGTTTATAATTTATCGAATTATATCGAATTATATTTATAAAAAGTTAATGCATGCATTTAAAAGAAATTTCAACTGTAACGGTAATTTTTCTTTTCCCTTTTTGAATAATAGTTTTATATTTTTTAGTTTTAAAATATAGAAGTAAATTGTAAATGCTGTATCTCCGGCCAATTTTATGTCGGTGATACAGATTCATTGTTTCGAAAAAGATTGCGTAATTATATGATGCCGCATATTTTTTTTATCGCATACATTAGTCGCCTCGAAAGTAAAAATTGCACACGTGAAGGGGATACAGCACCTTTCATTCATGAAACTGAAATATCTTACTGTTTTGAAAATGTTTCAATTGCTCTTTTGAATAGCCTTCTAGCTTGTAATCTTATAGCGATAGATATCTTATTTCTACTAACATTTCCGCAATGCTACATTCATGTATATGTAATCTCAAATCCGTGTAGCAAGGTATCGGACAAATGGGCAACTTCATGAAATTTTATTCAAAAAATGTGATATGCTTATCTAATCATAGTGGCACATGAGTATAAGTTGCTTAAACATATATAAATATCTCCTGGAAAAGATTAAACCCATTGCTAATAATGATCCACGATAGAATAACGTGGAATTATAGAAAGAAAAATTTGAAGTAACGGGCAAGGGATTATCGCGATTAAATAAGAAATACAGACACAACGAAAGGTGAACATTGTTCTCATTTGAATGTTGCATGTATTAAATAAATTTGCATACGAAATTGTCGTTGGCATTGCTATCCAAAATTATTGTGTACGATTACGATTTTAACTTTTGATCGAAGGCACGATAAAAAAGGACTTATAAAAAACGGTGTATTTTTTATTTAGGTTGCTTCAAAAGCCAAAACTTTTGTGAAGTGCATCGAGCAATATATGTGGCCAATGCGTCGGGCGAAGTCGAATATCGTAACTTCGTCTCTGATCTAACTTTGATTCAAACTTTCAATCATTTTTCAAAGTGCCTTCCACCTTTAAGTACAAACAATGGTAAGACTCTTCTTTGAGATTCTAATTTGAGTGATTGTTTACTTTTTTTATGTATTTTGGTGGTAACTTTCAGAGAGACGGAGTGAGATTACGCCAACATGCCTCAAAAAGATCTAGTGATGTGTTATATGAGGATAAAAGTTCTTCTAAGAAGAAGGAAGTACTGCCAAATGAAACTCAACATTTACTTTTCCTCTTTACATTTTATTTATTTATGTCCATCATCATAATCACATTTGAGAAGAAATTACCTGAACCATTAACAATTAATAAAGAAGGATTGCATCCTGGAAGATTTATAGCAGAAAGAGCACATAATCATCTGGTGAATCTTACATCTATTGGGCCACGAATTGTTGGAAGTTATGAGAATGAAGTGTTGGCAATTAAATATTTAACAAACATTATCAATAGTGTAGTTAAGGATCCCAATGTGAATCATCACATTTTAGTCACTGTAACCAAACATAGTGGAGCTTTCCCCTTAAAATTTCTAGATGGAATGACAAATGTGTATAGAAATGTTCAAAATGTCATTGTTAGAATTGGCCCACACAGACCCACACAGAGCAGTTTGTTGATAAATTGTCATTTTGATACCTTTCCAGAAAGTCCTGGTAAAGATCAATAAGAAAATATAATGAAAAAAATGCGATTATAAATAATATTGAAGTGTTAATATTGTTTTAAATTCTAGGTGGATCTGATGATGGAGCTGGTTGTGCTGTGATGTTAGAAATTTTACGTGTGATTGCTCATAGTTCAAAGTTGTTAAAGCATAACATTATATTTTTATTTAATGGTGCTGAAGAAAATTTATTACAGGTATATTAATTATGTACAATATTAAAGAACAAATTACATGTACTTTATAATATGTGCTTCTTAAAATTATGTATATTATGTAATTTATGCAGGTTTTCTAATTTAATGAAATTGTATAATGTATACAGGCTTCTCATGGCTTTATAACGCAACATTCTTGGGCTAAGGAAGTGCGTGCTTTTATAAATTTGGAAGCTTGTGGTGCCGGCGGTCGTGAATTATTGTTTCAGGCTGGACCTGATAGCTCTTGGATCCTTCAGGTAGTACTGAATGGTAACAATGTTTCCTATTATGGGTGTTATTATATATTTTTGTTTTTTGCAGATATATGCTAAATCTGTTCCCTATCCCTATGCATCATCTTTAGCTCAAGAAATATTTGAAAGTGGTATTGTACCTGGAGATACCGATTTTCGAATATTTAGAGATTTCGGAAACGTTTCTGGTACTTATTTTACATTATCTATTACTTTTTTCTATTTATTTCTTATTTTATTTATTCTAGTTACTTTTATATGCTCTCTTATAAATAGAAAAAATTAATTATATTTAAAAAATATCATAGGTCTTGATTTTGCTTGGGCAACCAATGGATATGTGTATCATACAAAATATGATAATATTCATCAAATACCGTTAGGCTCTCTGCAAAGGACTGGGGATAATATTCTTGCTTTAATACAAGGAATAGTGCTAGATAATAATTTATCCGATGCACCTATTCAGGATCATGTAGGGAATCCTGTGTTCTTTGACTTTTTAGGCAGTTTTGTTATCAGATGGCCACAGTATGTGTCAAGTACAATCAATATTATTAGCATAATTGCTGGTATATATTCGATATATTTAAACACACAAAACGTGCGAAGAGGTATGTTATTTCACCAAATTTATTAATGTAGGATGTAGGGTATAATTTCAATGTGATTTAAATTTTGAATATTCATTTAGATGTAAAAAAATCAGTATACTTAAAACACTTACTATTGTGTACTGGAGCAATAATTGTTTCATGGCTAGTCTCTGTAATTTCCTGCACATTAATTGCACTAGTCCTTACCAAGCTCGGGAAAGTAATGAGTTGGTATGCAAGACCAGCATGGTTGTTCTTCTTGTACGTGGTTCCAACTATTTTCGTATCCATGACATTTTTCTTGTATGTTGGATCGCGTCAAAAGAAAGCAAGTTGCACCACAATTATACGTCCTAATTCAATAATATTTTTAGTGTTATTTTAATTGTAATTAAAATTTTGATTTCGTAGAAAGTTAAGTCTGCATGGACTTTATATCAAATATACTGTGATTCATATTCCATGATATGGATGTCTGTTCTTTTTTGCTGCGTTATATTCGAAATACGATCTGGTTTTATACCACTGCACTGGGTTGTATTTCCTACTCTTGGAAATATACTTCGATATAATTTCTTTAATAAATGGAGAGGTATTATGATATATTAATAACGTTGCGCAACAATATCACAGTGTTAAATACATTATTTTTTAAACATTTCACATTTAGGTTGGAAATGGCTTTTTTATTATTTAGCGACAATGTCTTTGCCTTATATACAATCGTTCTACTTAGCAATTGGAGCTCTTTATCTTTTTATTCCCATAATGGGGCGATCTGGTAGTAGTATCAATTCGGAAGTTGTTATGGCTAACATGTTATGCATACTCTTCTGCCTCCTACTTAGTTTCACGGTAAATTATTTAAATAGTTAAAAGATTATTTTAAAAGATTAGGTTAAAAGATTTAATGACTAATAATTTTCTTCTTTTAGTTACCATTTGTACTTTTAATCAAAAATGCAGAGAGAGTCCTAAGTGTATTAGTGGGAATATTTTTAATAACTATGGGCCTATTAATTTTGACTCCGCTTGGTTTTCCTTATAGTGGTGATTTATCGTCGTTAGCGCCTGAACGATTTATGATTGCGGTAAAGATTAAATTGTTATAACTGTCTTTAAAAAAAAAAAATCGTTTTACAATGTTATATACATATTCAATTTATAGCACTCGCAAAGACAATATTACGATATTAATGGTAACTTACGGCATTCTGGAACTGGATATTGGATAGCTGATTTAGATATGAATAGTCCACATAGCGTGGAAGCTATGGTACCTGAAATAGGTGCTGTTTCGTCAACAGTGAAAGATTGCGAGAAAGAATTATATTGCGGCCTACCATATTTTATGCCTGTCACAACATTTTTGTGGTATGCATTTTACTTAACATTAAATTTAATAAAAAAATATTAGGATAATTAAATAAAATACATATCAAATATAAAAATATTTCTAACAGGAAAACAAGTTGGATTCCAGGTCCTGCACCACTGATTAGTATTCCAACGAAGATCGAACAAATTTCAAAGACCTCGAAACAAAATATCGTCAGTTTTACCTTTAACGTTACAGGTAATTTTTTTGTAAATATATAAACTACTAAGTGATAATGAAAAATTCGAATTAAAAATTTATTTCCAGGCCCTGATCATATAAGTATAATTTTGTCTCCGTACAAAGGTGTTCACTTAGAGAGGTGGTCTATTATAGAAGGAAAACCATTAGAAGGACCTAAATGGAACGACAGGGAGACATATTTTATTTATTATTCTTGTGCGTCCGACTGTGTTCCTTTTACATTTTCCCTCGAGTTGAATGTAAGTAAAGTTTCATATTTAAATAGACAAACTTATATACTAATTGTGTATTATTATCTTCTTAACAATTTTTATAATGTTTATATAGGTAAATAATATGCCGAAAACTCCATGCTTAACAGTAGCATTGGGTGGTCATTTTTTGCATGGTGAACACCAAACATCATTGAGATTTAAACGATTCTTAGCACAATTTCCATCTTGGACAGTCGTCACCCCATGGACAGCAACGTACACCTCTTGGGAATTTTAACACGATTAAGAACTGATTGTATCGGTATTAAGTACATTTGCGTGAAAATAGTTAGCGACAGCCTAACGGGAACGGCACTTACTAGGTTAGTTTTAGATACGTTTAAAAGACATATAATACCTTAACAATGCAAACTATAAGCTTAAGAGTTAGAGTAATCCCATATTATACGTGCTAATACTTTGCAATCGCAATATAGCAAGAGGCATTGATAAAACATTTAAAAAAAAATAACAGAAAAAAGACAAAAAAAAAATATCAAAGAATGAAACGTTTTTCATTCTATTTATATAAATTTTTTACTAGTACCTTATGGAAGCGTTGAGAAAAATTTTTTCGAGGTAGCTCGTAAGAAACAAAGGATAACGATTGCCCGTAAGAAACTTTCGATTTCACTAATTGTAATTACACGTAGGGTACCGTAATTTAGCATATCAAACGTATACCTTAGAGCTCAGAATTAATTTTTAAACGCTAGAGAATTAACAATTATTCGCAGACCAACTAATCTGTAATAGCAGATAGTGAGTTCAGAGAGAGATCGAAGTATTACAAAGCCATCACACACCATGCGACGATTACCCTTTTATTGTAATTGTCATGGTTAAGAATACTGTTTGATGATTGTACGAAAAAGGAGTGAAAGCAATCGTGCACGTGCACATTTTACGATCCTGTGTGAACATCTTTAGAAGCACAAATGCAATAGTCTGCTTTATTATACAAACGTACTAAGGTTTCTTCTAGTTTAATTTAGCAAGTAAAGTTTAGTCCATAGCGATTTCAACTTTTCCACCATCGAATTTTATAATTATTGCATACATCCTTGCATACATGCATTTTCTTTTTTAGCGTTTCGTTGTGTTTTATACTATAATTGTTTGTAGTACTATGTGATTACGGATTATACGGTCAGAAATTGAACGTATTTGTTAGAATTTAACAAAGTGATTTATTGATGGATTGTTAACATTTTTGTTGTGCTGAGTATTCTTGGGCGGAGGGACGTTTTCTTTTCTTTTTTTCTTATTTCATTCGCTTTTTCTTTTATATATTTATTGCAGCAAAGAGACTTAAGTTATTTTGAATGTTATTAGTTAACTTATGATACTTCGTTTTTATACCATTGATGAATGTATGCAATAGTCGCTATATAATTTAAGTATATCGTTCGTATAGGATATTGAACAGTAAGAAATAGCGCGACAGGTTAAAATGCATTTTACTCAAGAAATATTTATCGAATTAAACACGTTCGAGTATAATTGTAAGGGAACTATGCCAATATCGGTAGCCAATCGCGTAGCCGGAATTAAGTTCAAAGTATTAATAGGTGGTAACATGAGAAATTTCAGTACAAGAAGATATTACTTTTACACCGACGTAAAAGGGAATGAAACGCATAAAAATGTTCAGCTTGTTACGTGGAAACGTGAGAAAATTTAATTTTTTACAATTAACATTTTGATAAGCTTCAATAGAAATTTAATATAAATCATGGATTAAACGTTTTTCTTTGATTAACGATTGGAATGCTTAAAATCTTATTCCCAGATTTTCTTTCTTTGATCTTTTGAATTTATCATCTAATTAATGTCAACTGATGGTTTTATTGTTTCGAACGTGTTAATTGTACACTTTTTATTGCACAAATTTTCGCTACGACTCTATTGAACGATGCTGCACAATATTAAAAATCAAAATGTGAATATTGTTATGGTGTTTTAGTTACATTGTACGCACATATATGGGTATGGACTTGTATTGTATTATTTATGAAGATTTGATCAAATTATTTTTACCTGTTGATTAAAAAGAGGAAAGGTAGTAATTGATTGTGGTTGAATTAAAGCAACTAATGGCACTGAGGAATATCACCCCAATGATTTCGTTGTCCCTGAATTTTTTTTTTTTTTTTTTTTAAATGAGTACGTTCAAATGTCCATATGTTTCTGCTGCTGTTTAACATCCACGTTATAATCTTATATGTACTGTTATTATTTTTATTTAGTCGTTTTTGTTAAACAAGAAAAGGTTAGGTGAGTAATAAAAGTGTTGAGAATTGAATTCTCTTGTGCGATTATTTTTCCCATTGTGATTACATCTACATTTATATATTTCAATCTATGATAACAGCAAAATGGATTTGTTTTATCGAATTTATCAGATGGAACCTAAATTTCACGTAAAAGCGGTCGGTGACAAAATTCAACTGGATAACATGGAAATTTTTCGTAACTATTAGATGATAGTGTTACAGAATTAATTGTTACCGCTGTCCATTCATCGATCGGATTAATTTCCTGCTTCCGAGTCCATTATGCAAGCGGCCTGGGTGAATTCCATTATCTGAATGGAATTAAATTTTGACATAAACTCTATTTCAAGACTTTTAAAGATTAAAAATGTTGAGGAGTTAAAATTAAAAAATTTTTTAATTTAAAAATTTTTAAATGTTCAAATTTTCAAATCTTTATTTGAAAAATAAACAATATAAACCCCGATTAATTACCCAAAACAGAATAAAAAATAAATAAGCATATCTTCAACCCTCTCATCTTCCCTCAATATCTGCCTATTTTTAAGCATCTTACCTAACACAGCAACAGAAACTGCCATTGCACAACAATACAGCAAGGAAAGGAATATATTTGAAACCAGGAAAATCTGTACATAGTTACATTCCAGTCTGCATCCAGAAATAGCTATACCTAGTCCATCCTCAACAATGAATCAAAAATAAAAAACAGTAAAAACTTCCGTCTTTACAAGAATATTTTCATATCTATTCCAATTCTCATCTAAGAAATTAACCATCACTATAGTCCCAATCAATCTCAACATCCTTCTTCATAACACCCTGATCGTCAAAATAAACGACCTTAAACTCTCCCATAAATCCAACGATATTTATCGATATCTTCCAAAAACGATCCTCCAATGTTCAAATTTTTCTCTCTTCCTCCATTCTTCCTTCTATTCCTTCTCAGTTTCGTAAGAAACGTGTCAATATTGACCTACCGGCATCCTGTAAGACGAGACCAATTTCCTGGTCGAGGCGACACTGATCTGCGAGCCACGCGAACCCGTGAAACGGCATCGATAATCGCACAACGATTCGTTGAACGTGCCGTGAAGTATGTACCTGTTGGATTCGCGATAAACCGGCTTGCGAGGGGAAAAGAAAAAGTTATCAGTCACCGTTCCGCGATAAGCAAAGGAGCGCGATATTGTTCAGATAAAAAGTCTCCTCTGTGCGGCCCGAAACAATACCTCTGTCCTCTGTTAGCTGAATTATGCTCGCGATTATCTTGAATAGAAATTCCTGCTCCAATTCGTTTTCGTTTCGATCATAGAGGATAGAAAATAATTACGATTTCTGCATACATCAGTGAACTGGAAGTACTTTTTTTTATTTTTCAAAGAAGAAATATGGAAGAAAAAAAGTGATCAGTATGCTTCTTTTTTCTTTTTTTAATTCCAATGGAGTACTGTGTGGAGTGGAATTGTTTTCGAGATGAAGATTTTGAAGAATAGATGGATTCGTCGGATTATTTGTGAGAAGGTGAGTAAGATTTTAAATAATTTGAAAATATTTATAATATTTGTTGCAGTTTTGGTCAAATTTGTTATATTTTGATGATGAGATTATAATGGAATGTTTAAATTACATAATACCTGTATGCTTCTGATACGTTCGAGTAATGTTTGAACAGGAGTAAATAGTGATATTGGGAACATTTTCTATCGAGGAAATCGTTTAATGAATACAATGATCATAGTGATAATTGTATCGTGAGCTTGCAAATTAAGGTACCGTTAATTATGAGTCGACTGTAAAACAGCTAGTTAGTGAATCTGCCAGGTGCTATCTGTTATCGTGCTACTCTTAACTGAGGTTAATTGTCATTGTTAATGATCGGTATGTTCGCTTTAAGTTGCACCAAATATTCTTTCAGTATTTCTTTTTTGTGTAACTTCAAAATATAATTAACAACTACATATATACGCGTTTAATTAATTTTACTGATTAATTACGCGATAAAATTTCATTTACCATTACAGTCTACTTTTTTAAATGGAAATACATATCTACTTTTTTTTATAATAGAGAATATAAGATTTTTTTTTAATGTTTCTCAAGGTGTTGTTTCTTTTGCGAAAATTAAGAAGTTTGGCAATATTATGACGTTACCATAGTAAGTTTCGTGAACCCTGCGTTCAACTGTATATACTTGTTTGTTCCTCAATTAGCAACCGATTGGATTTTTCAGTTTCAGAGCTGCTCGACAGACTACTTCATTTGCACGGCCTACTTCTCGCGAGATTCCT